TTTTTTTTTTTGATTTACGCGCATCGATATCGCGTGGTGGTTATGGCGATCTTTATTGGATGGCTCGTCTAGCCTCGGAAACATGTATGAACGGATAGAGAGCTAACAAACCTTGAACTCTTGTGCCGAAGCAGTGAGATTCCCGCGTAAAAGCCACGTGGTTTCACCCGGCTTGCACTATCTCGCTCTTCTATATTCCTCCTTTCTCTCTCTTACTCGAGTTGAAAACGAGTATGGTGCTACTCGACGATACGACCGTTGCCAGTAGGTGTTACGTACCTCGGGGAGCAACCTCGTTCAATATAAACCAGCTAGGAACAACGCTGTAACCGTAACGTTGACGTTTACGACGACGAAATCGTGGCTCGGCTCGTTTACCCCTCCCTCTTATGTGCCTCCACGCTTACCGCTATCGTCGCTGCGAGGTTCGTCGGTAATACAGAGCACATATCTTCGTGTGTATCGACCAAGATCGTTCCGCGTCTTCGTGTGTGGTAGAAATGTTTTGCTGGAACAGAAACACGAGGGAAGTTCATCGTACAAATCATTTATGGGCCGACGGTTTTTACGGATTCGTTTCACGCGACTCGCTAATTATCCGTGATAGTTTGTTACATAATCGTTTCGTAAATAATACATCGACTCGCATCGCCTACCTGTTTTCTCATCACTTTCTTTTCATTTCTCGCCATTGTTTTCTAACCTCTTCCATGGACACGATTCTGAAAAATAATTAATAATTAATAATCGAACAAGTACGAAGACAAGATCGCAAGTATGGATATATCTAATTTCTTATACCTCAATGGCTGACAAACATGGCTGAGAGAACTTTCCATCTTGTTAAGAGATATCTGGTCGATGTTTTGCATTGTTTCCGCCGAGCACACAATCGACGATGATTTCTTTACGAATCATTTAAGACTCTAATTTACAATTGGAAAATTGAAAAGATCGGATCGGTAAAGTTGCGTCGAATATAGGCGTGCGTATTGCACGCCCGTGACCAAGTGGTTCAGCCTCTCCTACCTATAGAGACTCGCACTGGTGTGACTAAAGTGTGTGAGTTCGTGCGTGAACGTGCGTGTGGTGGTGCCTTGAACACTAGCTTACAGCGACCTAAAGAGGCAAGCCAAGTAGGTGCGTTCATCGGGTATGGAGGCTCCACAGACCCTTTCCATGTGTTGCTCCGTTGGCCCGGATGGAGGATGACGTACGAGCCTCTCCGTATGACTTACTACGCCCTTTTCCCTTCTCCACGCCCGCCGCTTCTGCGTACTGTTCGCTCAAAAAACATTCGGGTCTCTGAAAATTACGTGGTCCTTCACATTTGATCGGGACTCCATCTCGATCTCGCTCGGTTGAATTCTTTAAACGTGCTCGAGGATATTGAATATTTGCACTAATTATTATACCTCTTAATATTATATTTTTATTAAAATAAATAAAATATAATTTAATGTTATTCTTATTATATAACTTTTTTGCAAGTAAAATGTTTTTTAATCGAATAACAACCGAAAAATAGTTATTGTGCTCTCTTATATGCTCTCGACTATATTTTAGATACTGTGCTCGATACGTTTTTATCAAGAAATAAGATTTTATCAAAAGACTTTTTTTGAAGAGGCCTAATAATAGAAGCAAATTTAATATTGATTCTAATTTAATTATTGTAGTTTTAAAATAGAATTATTGAATTTATTTTTAAATTATTTTTTAATAAATATAAATATATCTTATAGGTATGTATAATATAGGAAATCTTTTTATAATAGAAATTTTATATCACAAATTTAAAGTATTGTTTTTAAAATTAATTTCTTAGAATTTTAAAGATAAAATTTATTTTAAAAAATTGATTACAATTTATTTACATTTCATAGGAGATTTTGTACTTTACATTTTTCAAATTTTTTATTTTCCATTGTACGTAGTATTTAATGTGAATATGATTGTCGATTCAATTTCATAATTTTTATTTGTTTGTGAATTATTATAAAAATATAAATAAATTTATTGGTTTTTTTAGATTATTTTCCATTTTTATCAAGATTTGTCAAGATTATATATTTATTATATATTAAAAAATATTGAAAGGATATTTTTTGTGATCTAGCAAAAAGAAAGATTTAATAATAATCGAGCAGAGATGAATGCTATAAAAAATCTGTTTTTATTTGGTATCATACATGAAACGATTATGTCTGTATGTTGAGGTAAAGGGTTAGTAATCTCTTTGTTAAACGGTCCGGCAAAGAACTGGAATTTAAATGGTCGTATTTACACGTAGAAAATACCAAAGAAAAACATATAAACCGGTAATTATCAACTGTTGTTCGATTTTCTTGCTATGTGCAACATTTCGTCGATTGATTTTTAATTCGCGGTTCGTTAAAAGCGGCATTCTCGCGCGCGCATTTGTAGCATGCGAAAAAAAACAGGCCGAGGAACGGCCATAGTGAGACAAAATGCCGTAGAAGCGTGTCATTAAAAGTAATTGTTAACATCGATCAAAATGTATCGGGATATTCTTAATTTGCATATGCCCCACCGCATAATTTCACTTCGCGAACCCCTGGATGTGTATCGTCAATCAATTTTTATACTTTGCTACGTTATAAACGCGAAAACCTTGAAGGTATTAATCACGGGTGTTGGGAATTCACCGCATGAAAGTGTAATTTCTGATCCGCAGAATCACTTACATCCTGTCCCACGTTTTTCTCAATAACATTGCTGCCACTCGTAAACATCCATAATATTATTTCACGCGATTAGTAAACAGGGCTGGTCATCGTCCAAGCAACGATTTACATGCGAAAGAATAATCGCGAGTTACGTTTTGATACGATCTACCACTGGTTAACGCTAAACATTACTTCGATCGCTTACCGTAACGCATAAAAATTCATCTGAATCGGTTATCAGTTGATGGAGAGGAAGAGAGAGAAAGAGAGAGAGAGAGAGAGAAGAGGAGACATATCATTAAGAAGATAAAGATATATTATTTGTTAAAAAGCTCTCTCTCTCTCTCTCTCTCGGGATATCAACGATAAAAGCAGTAGATGTGAATTTATTTCCAGTGTTATATATAATAAATTCAACGTTGGAATAACACTTTAACGATAAACAACAAAGGCAACAGTTAACAAAGTGTGTTTTCATCGAGGCAGGAAGTGGATGAGCACGGTTATACGATGAATGTAGTGATATTAATGTACAGACCGGTATCTCGTACGAGGATCGAGAGAAGGACACTCGTAAACGTGTTGCAGCGGAGGAGGCGCATAGTAGGCGCACGCAGTAAACGATTCGAAGGCGATGGTAGCCGATTTACGTCTCTATCGAACGTGCACGAGACATCGTCGTCTAGCGACGGTGGATGTTAAACAATAGCGATAGTTTATTCTTGCCTAAGAGAAGTGAGGAAAGAAAAGAAACAGAGGAACGTGAGTGGCGCGTAACGCGCGCGCAAAGGTATAGGCGCTGATCGCACGTTCAGCCGGCAGCGTATAGCGGCTGCCTACCAGGGTTCTCAATTTGATGGACGAGCTGTTCGCATGTACGAACTCGTGTGCGCTGGCTCGCTTTTACACACCGACAACAGCCCATACGCTATCCGCCTGTTTTGCAAATTTCATGCGGGAGGAGTTATCGCTCTCGTGGCCCAGGATTAATCCTCTCTCACTGTGTATTGTTTGTCGTCAACGACTATTTATCAATTACCCGGCTATTTCTGAGATTGTTGTTTCCCTAAAGAGAAGAAAAAAAAAAATCTGTAGCCCATTATTCCTTCACACTCCCTCTTTCTCCGTGAGACTTATGAATCGCCTTGGGTTGATCTATATCGATTATTATAGGTAAATTGTTCTGAAAGATTAGATTAGGTTACTCATTCGTACTTTTTCTGCCTTGTTTTTGCAAAAATTTCAATCTTGTGAATCGCTTTTCTTTATTCGAATTGATATCGATTATTATACATTTCTCTAAAAACAAGGTTAGATTAGATTAGCTGATATTTCCATTAGGATCAATTTTTTTTTCCTAGAATTAATATATGCCAGTTACAATATGTTACAGTAAAACACAATAAATTAAAACTAGGCTCTCGTGTATTTTTGGCATAAAGAAAAGAAAAGCCTCTAAATCGTGTTGATGGCATAGTATTTCATTGGTTATGATGTTAAGTGAGAAAATATATGAAAGAAAGGGATGAAAGTTATAAAGGAAAAATTCGTTGGAGATTTCAAGATTGCTGACAGTAGAAACACTGCGCTTTTGATTGGTTCGGCTTCTTACTCGTCTATATAGCAGACTGCCATTTCACTGCTTCGGGCTGAGATAATGCATACTTTGGATCGGCCGCGCTTCGTAGGCACGAAGAACGTGTTTAGGTGCTCGACGATCGGAACGACTACACCGGCAGACAAAGGATATATATACCTGTGCCCGCAAGAAAAGATGAATACAAGGTAAAATAATTGAATCGAAAAGTGTTCCTGCTTACGTTTTTGTGGAATACTTGCTTTCCAGATGAAGATGTAACTCGCATATTTCAAATCTTGAAAGATCGAGAAAAATGAATATTAACGAAAGAAAGTGCGATCAGTGACCTCGAAACGCGTCAAACAAATTCTTCTTTAATATGAAATCATATACGATATATTTATATTTCCTAAATTTTATTTAATTTTTTTCTGTTCAAATTTAATTTAATCTTTTTATCAATACTCAAAATTTTGACATTATTCAATATTTAATTTAACAATTCTAGAATTAAAACCTAAAATCAAGAAATTTATTTATAGTGATTTATATAATTTTTCCTTAGGCAAACAAAAATTGGATTAAATAATTTTTCACTGATGAAAAAATTGAAATATAATTAAGAAAATTATAGTGACTTTTATAGTAATTTATATAATTTTTCTCTAGATAAAATTGGATTATGAACGGTTAAATATTAAAATCGCGATATTTAATTAAAAAAAAAAAAAATTATCGATAAAAATCGTATGAAAACTCGTCGGATCATCGATAAAACCTCAGTTACGATCAACATCGCGTTGGCGTTTCTTCTTCCCATCGATCTTCCATCGTTGCGTTACTTAGCGATTCGACGCGATACCTCGTCGTACGTGGAACTCGTTGAAATCGATGATCATCGCGCATCGCGAGCGTATCGCACCGTTTCCATCAACTCGTAGCTTGTCGAGAGGAGTGGAGGGGAGAGGAGGTGGCTCGATAGCGCGTACAGTAAAGAATATTCGATCGGTTTTTTAGCCATTCCTCGCTCGATTTGTCCCGATTTTTTGCGCCGTTTCGGCGCCATCTGCACTATTATCGTGGCCCTTATTCAATTAATACGCTACGATGTAATCTTGTGTCAATACACAGCAAATAAACTCCGGACTCGTCCGTTTTAATAAATTCGAACTTGCACAACAGTTTTTGCCACAAAGCAAACCTGCCCAGAACTCTTGCTGCCGCCTGGTTGCCGATAGCCGGCCATTACAAACAGCACCTGCCAGCCTATGCTCCTCTTCTCCTCGGCGACCTGACCGTGCACAATGCTTTTGTATCCGCTCTTATGCTCGGTCTTCTCCTCCATTCCGGTCAGGACTTTCAACGACTCCAAAGGCACGAGCCTTAAAAAAAATTACGAATATCGAGCAACGACTAATTGCCAGTGACATCGATACAGTTTATTTCATTCGAAGCGGAACACATGGCGTACGGCCAACGATCGTGAGTGTTAGCACAGCGGGTAAAGAACATCGAACATGATCATATGCGCATTTTAAATATTCTACTTCTTTCCGATTAACAACTCACGTGTTACGTGTATCGTTTGTCGCTTTGTTTGTAATCAAGGATTAACCTGGTTATGGTCGTGTATATCTGTCACGATCCATGTCGTTACACACGGAATGATAGATATATTCTGATAATCAGAATTATTTATGTTGTTAGTTATTTTGTATATATCGATCAAAAGTATTACTAATCGATCAAAAAAAAGCATTCCCAGAATCTAAAAATTGAATAGATTAAATTGAATAAATATTTCTTCTTGTACAAATTATTATTAATTTCGAATTAATAATTAAAAATTTTTTTTTACAAATTAGACAGTTTAATAAAAATAAACGAATAATATAACGAATATTTTCGATTGATAAATCGTAACTGTAATTATATGAATCAAACGATAATGATCGAAATATATTCCTTTCTTCTCTTTTTGTTTCGTTTTCTTTCATCCACTTTTCTTTATTTCAATGCGTATTGATCATTTTGCA